AAATATAATTAATTTTTTATTATATACTTATAACCAATTAAGACTTTTGTTTGGTATAGGTTTTACATGATGAGTTTGAGGGCATTGATGAGCATTTGATTTGTTTGGCTCATGGGCCATCTTGGATGGTTTCATGCTATAAAGGCTTTTGGGTAAATGGTTTTTGATTTCACACGACCTCATACGAAAGAAATAAGAGAACTATGAATAGCGGTGTATGTATCACAGGAACCACAGGAATAAAATCATATTTGGATTTTATGGGTTATTGCAAGAAGTGATTGAGCTTCAATATGTTGGCTCTAGACATCGATAGACAGTTGTTCTATTTAAATGCGATTGGTATGAAATTCCTCCTACATGAGGAATTGTGGTTGACAAAAAACATCGTCTTGTTGATATTAATCCAAATAGAAAACTGAGGACTTATGAGCCTTTTATCTTGGCGAGTCAAGCAAAACAAGTGTATTACACTCCATATCCATCACATAATTCTAATAGGAAGGGATGGCTTGCTGCATTGAAATGCAGGGCAAAAAGTATTATTGAGATGCCAAATGAGCAAGAAGACCAACACGATGAGCAAGAACCCATTTTTCAAGATGATGACCCTCTACCTCCCCAACCAACTGAAACCGATTTGATATTCTATCAACCTATTCAACATACTGATGGGACTATATCTGCCATTAATGTTGAATTTGAGGATGTGAATGATGACAGAGAATTTGAGGATGAGTATGAGGAGGAAGAATTTGAACATTATTCTACATCTGAGGAAGATAATATTGAATACATTTCTGAAAGTGATAGTAGTGATTAATTAATTAGTATGTCGAAAAGATAATTTTACTAAAAAGAAAACCTACATGTCTGATGAGATTTGGGAGAAGTTAAAATACAAATGGACGGAGGACCCTAAATTCAATGCATGGAGAGAGCAAGCGAAGCTAAATCGAGCCAAAGGCCCCAGGGTAACGAACACAGGTGGATCAATGGATTACGATGATTTTGTCAGAAAATTGGTAAAAAGTTTACTTCTAAATTTTAGATTTCATCTCATAAATGATTATAATCATTTTGTAGTTAATTATCATATTTGTGTGAATTAACACAATAATTAAATATGTGATATTGCAGAAGGAACAAAATCCAGAGCATAGGGATCCATCATTTGTTGATGTGATCAGTGCCAAAAAAATGCACCATCCCAAGGAAAAGGATAAAATGCCAACGTATATTAATGAGCAAGCTCAGCAGTATACTGTAAGTATTCTTTCTAATTATTATTATTTCCTACGAGAAATCGATTTAAGTTATATTTCTTTTATTTATGTTTAATCATATTGGAAAAATCAATTAAAATAGAGGAAACATAAATTAATTGATTAATTAGGACAACATGAATTCTCCTATATTTAGGGGAAACTTTGGCAAATTTTTTTATTGATATATAATGATTTTTGGAAAATTGAAATACTTATAATATAATATTGATAGTTATATTAAGTCTCTAATCAAGATTAAGTAATTTGTTTGACAATTATGATTATGTTGATTAAATATTGATATTTTGATTGATTGTATTTTTATATTTTATGCATAGGGAGAAAATTTAATTTTTAGGGGAAACTCTGGCAAATTTTTTATTGATATATAATGATTTTTGAAAAATTGAAGTACTTATAATATAATATTGATAGTTATATTAAGTCTCTAATCAAGATTAAATAATTTGTTTGACAATTATGATTGT